CTCAAGACCAGGACAGGCCACCTACTTGGCTGAATCTGCTGCACAAATGCCTTACCCCCTCGTCGCCCTGATAAATAACAATTGCAAACACTTAGGCAATACTGAGGGGCCCCGAGGACAGAATTATTTTTCCTATCAAATCCAAATTGGTTTACTAAAACTGTCAGCGGAAACCAAGCAAGATAAATTAAACCCAGCAGCTCCTGGGCCTCACATACCCCTGACTGGTGAGATGCTATTCTCACTCCCTCCGTGGGGAAGAGGAGGTGCCAGGCTCAGATCCTCTCTGGCTAGTGTGTGCCACTGAGCTTGCTGGGGAGCACCTGGGGCTGGTGACCAGTAAGAGCCTGGCTCCTCTGCAAAGCTCTAATTGCTTTAGTTTCTTAGAGCCCCCCCCCTCCCCCCGCCCAGTTTGGAGAAGCCCAGCCCCGCCATGCAGCCATCAAGGCCAGGCTTGATCTCCCTGCCATCTCCCTGCCCCGCTTCCCCAGGGGACACACTGCTTCTTCCAATACCAACTGCTACTAACCTACAGGTTGGCAGTTGAACCGGCCAAATGGAGCTGCAGAAGAAAGGCCTGTCTGTCTGCGTCTGCCAAGACGACAGCCAGGTAAACGCTGTGGAGGAGCTTTGTCTGTCACATGAGCAGGCAGTGAATGGATGGGCGTGGGTCCAGGGCAGACCGAAGGTCCTGGCAACCTGGAGGCACTGCTGAGCTGTGGGTCAGACCCATTCTTCTGACTCCCTGAGCCTCTGTTTGCTGTTTTTGTTGGGTGCCATCAAGTTGCTGCTGCCTCACAGCAACCACGGGGTGCAAGCGAAGCAAACACGGCCTAGTCCTGTGTCACCCTCACAGTTGTTGCTGGCTGAGCCCATTGTTACAGGCACTACGTCTATCCGTCTCATTGAAGGTCTGCCTCTGTTTGGCTGACTCTTCATTTACCAAGCATGATGCTCTCCCCCAGGGGCTGCTCTCTCCTGATAACGAGCCCACCAGACATGAGACGATGGCCTGCCATCCTCATTTCTAAGAAGCACTCTGTCTTCCGGGCGAGGTTTGCTCTTTCTTCTGGCCATCTTTGGAGGTGATCTCTGAGCAGAGTCTTAAAGGACGGGAGGTGACGAGCGAGGCAGGTATCTGAGACTGGAAACAGGTCGTGCTAACACACTGGGGAAAAAGTTTGAGTTCGCTCCCTCCTAGGATCTAGGCAACCCCTCATCGTGCGTGTGAAAATGCACACAGCAGAACACACACACGTTAGCCATTTCTGCATGCAGGATTCAGCAGCATGGGCTACACGCATCAAGTGAGGACATCGTTCCTGTTTCCAAGTTCCTTCACCATCCCTCCAGCTTCTCATCTCTCCTTCCAAGTTGCCGCTGTCAGTGTGACCACGTACCAGGGCCACCACAAAGTTTCGCGATCTTTGCATTCCATTCCCACCCCCCCTGCACCTTTTGAAGGCCCCTTGTCGACATGTCTTTCAAAGGGAATCTTTAATGCTGGCATTAAATTAGGTGAAAGTACTATTGGGTTCCAAGATGACGCCAGGTGATAGTTCTAGTTCAAGGTTTAACGTTGTCCTTAGGGTAACAGTTTTGGCTCTCAAGGATCCAGAAAATTTGAATTCCACAAGAATTTCAAAATCTGTTCCTCCCCCCACCCCTCCCCACCCCCGCCTTGGATCAAGGTTAGTCAACAGAGTGCTTGATTTAAATGTGCTGTGTGGGGAGGTGACTCCTCTGATGGTCTGGTCTCAGGGCAAAGGAGGCAGTTTGCTCCTGGAGGCAATTGGACACACATTCCCTCTCCTCCACGGATTCCTGACGACCTCTTCTTCTTTCTCTGCTCCCAGTAAAAGCGATGGACTGGTCCGTCCGTCCTTTTGCAGAGGAGCGGTCTGAAGCACGGGGAGGTGAGGTGGTGGCTGAGAGTTCCACAGGGATCCGAGAGGAGCCAGGGACCGTGCATCCCAGCAGATGCTCCTGTCTGATCTGCTGGGATGGACGGGAGAAGGCCGAGTCCCTTCAGCGTCTCTTTTCCTGATGCGAAGCCAGTGGCCCGGCTTTGGGGAAAGAATTCTGCTTCAACTGCATGGCGGTCCCCAACTGGCTGCCCCATCATGTGCTTAGCGACGGAAATGAACTCAATCCAGTGTTCAGTTGAAGGATCATTGAATCTTTGATGCCAGCAGGGGATGGAAATGGGATTCCCAGTTTCCCTCCTCCTCATCCAGGCCTTTGACACCAGGGTCCAATCTTGTACAAGCAGAACCAAGTGTTCTGCCAGGCTCCCTGCGAGGAGCAAGGGGGTCTCCATGCCACGGTGGGGGCATGGGTGCCTTGTGAGAGGCGCCAAGAACTCAGGGGTGTGTTCCACCTTCTCCCAGTCAAAGACAGAGCTGGGGTGGCCAATTAACCTCTAAGGGGTTGGTAGTGCCCATGAGCCAGGACTATATACTTCTATGTGTTAAGAGCGACAAGTGAGTGCTGACGGAAAGGCTGGACGTTTGAACACACTCAGAGAGGCCAGGGAAGAAAGGCCTGGCAGTCGCTTCCAAAAGCCTGACCCTCTCAGACACACAGGGTTGCCCTGTACCAGCCAACTTGATAGCAACTGGTACGAGGGCAATGGGGAGCCGCTGAGGGTTTCCTAGAGAAAGCAGCTGCAGAACAGAGTTTTCTTTTCCAAGCCTTGGTTCTGAGGAGGCCCGAGCCTTCCTTCGGCCCTTCCCTCTGCACCCACTACCCAACCACGCACAGCCACATGACACTTCCTGGGAGCCACTCCCTGGGCCATGCCCAGTGGCCTCCCTGTCTCTCCTCCCTCCTCAGAACAAAGCGGGGGTGGGGGTGGGGGGGGGATGGGGATAAACTTACAAGACCAACCCATGCGATCTAGTCACTTCAGACTCCAGGACATTAAAAAACAAAGCAAAGCAAAACAAAGCCAAAACACCACCCCTCCAACTCCAGCCTCACTGTCATGGAGTCCGTTCTGACTCACGGCAGCCCTCTAGGACA